ACCCCCCCATCTAAAAAAAAAAAAAAAAAACCCCAAAAACAAAACCAAAACCCCACACAAAAACAAAAACCAAAAACCAAACCAAAAAAAGCCTCCCCAACTTGGAGACTAATAGCTTCTTTAAAAATGCAGCTCCTAGGCAGTGCCGTATATGTGGAGGGCTTGCTATGTATGAGTGCAGAGAATGTTATGAAGATACTGATATTTCTGCTGGGAAAATCAAGCAGTTCTGCAAAACCTGCAATACACAAGTAAGTTGTTGTTTTTGTTGTTCTACATGGGTTTAACCCAAATGGTATGTGCTGTAATAATCGACAGAAAGGCATTAAGAGTGTAGTGAGACTTTCTCACCAGCACTAGCGTAACTCACCCACCAAGTGTAGCCTTTGGTGACAAATCAGGAACTCCGCTTGACGCTGCAATGTACTCATCAACAGTTTCTTACTGAAAACATGGCAACTGCCAAATCCAGGACTGAATACAGTGGAGAAGTAGTAATTGTAGGCAGCTTGGAATCTGTTTCCTGTCGCCTGCTTTAAATCCTAATTTTACATACATGCTACTTTGTGTGAATTGATAAATTCATGACATAGAACAGTTTAATTTTGAAAGCCGTTTGGTAACTTGCATGAAGGTGTCATAGTCATGGCTTGTTTTCAAGTCTGAGCATAGTAGAAAATTGTTGCATTAAATCTGACCTCCCTTCTAACCTTAGATTTTCGGGCAACATTGAACTACACTGGTGGGGAAAAATAGGAGAAACGTTTAGTCTGCTACTGTTACTGCAGTTCCTTCTCTAATGCCATTAATCTTCAGTTCAGCAGTAATGTCTTTGTCTGCCACTGAAACAAATAATCTTATGTGGTGTTTTTTCTCTCCTGAAATATCACTTCAATTGTAGGTTCATCTTCATCCCAAGAGACAAAGTCATAAATTCAATCCATTGTCACTACCTAAAGATCTGCCAGACTGGGACTGGCGACATGGCTGCATCCCGTACCAGAAGATGGAGTTGTTTGCTGTTCTCTGCATAGAAACAAGCCACTATGTAGCTTTTGTTAAATACGGGAGGGATGACTCCGCCTGGCTTTTCTTTGACAGCATGGCAGATCGGGATGGTAGATCTTTTATTTATTCTTACTAATTTTCTCTTAGTTTTTTTACATGTATTACTGTTTTAAATTTCAGTGCCTATTTCTTAATGTTTTGGGGATATTAATATCGTTTAACTTGAAGTACTTGGTGCTGGGACACTAATCTTGACCCAGCCTTACCTCAGCGCCTTTCATAGCAGCCACTGATTTGCATAATCTGAATTTCAACTAGATTGAATGTCTTAGTAAGTAGATGGTACAGAAGTAACTGCAGAAGTTTTCTAGCGGGACTCCTTACACATTTTTCTATGCTGTGCAAGTTTGGCAGAGAGAAGTGATTTTAAATAATCAACTGCAGGAATGTGTTCTTTCCGTCTATATTTAAGTGGATGTACACAATTATCAGATAGTACGCAAATATTTTTATTGCTTTTGCTTAAATGACTTAGTGTAGGTGTCTTTAGAATAAAAGAAATAGTCACACATTACAACATCTGTGCCGTTCCTTTGAATCTCTTCAGAGTTATCAGTGGAAAACTGTTACCCTGTAATAATACAAACGTCAGTAAAACAAGTGTTCTCTTAGATACTGCTGCATTAAATAGTGTTTAAATAAGGACTCTGTTCAGTTCTGGAGCCTGAGAAAAACAGTAACAGATGCAAGTGTCAGACTCATCGTAACAGCTCTTTGCATGAAGAAATCTTGAACCCCTCTGTTACAGTGTGATTTGGGGGGCGGGGGGAGAAGAATCTCGCCTCCTGTTGAAACTGCTACAGGATTGAAGTCTCTTTCTTACAACAACCAGAAGGCAATCAAGCTTTGTTTCGGAGTGCTTGAAATGCGTACGACTGAAGTCTGTAAAGAACCACTTTATTTCAGGAAGGTAGATCACATGAGATACTCCCTGGATGTATCTCCTGCTGGTCGTAGGTTTTTTTGTATCACAAATATTTTTCTTCAGCTGGTGCTATAAGCTAGAAATGTCTGCTGGGAAACAGTGTCATGGATGTCCATACTTGTGGTGTTTGAATTTGCTCATTTTTACATGGAAAATGGCCAGGAGCAAACCCTGCCTTAGTCTTGCAAGTCAGGTACAGACACTCATGGTTTAGAAATTCAACTGTTACCAGTTGTCATGTTATTAACAAATTTGAGGTGGAGTATGTGTTCAGGTCACTCTCCCAAAGTCATACAGAATCTCTAGTGTTAACAAAACCCCAAAGTTCTCATTCTGGTGGGGTTTTTGTGTGGTGTTTGTGTGGATATTTATTTGTTAGTAACATTACAAGATATTCTGACACCAGTTGCGATTCTTCTTGAACAAGACACTTTTCATACAAATTTACCCTGCAGTAGTCCAGAATGGCATATTTAGGTTTTTTTAGAAGGCATTTTCAAGAACTGCTGGTGATGCTGTCATAATTAAAGTACATTATAAAGAGTAAATATATGTAGATGCTATCCTAATCTGTTTCTCTTTCTTTCCTTATGGTTAAAAGGAGGTCAGAACGGCTTTAACATTCCACAAGTTACCCCATGTCCAGAAGTTGGTGAATACCTGAAGATGTCTCTAGAAGAATTACACTCACTGGATTCCAGAAAAATTCAAGGTTGTGCACGAAGACTGCTTTGTGATGCTTACATGTGCATGTATCAAAGTCCAACGATGAGTTTGTACAAATGAACAACGTCCTCTGGAAAACTGAAGAAACAGTGTAATCTACTGTTGCATTTGCTGCATTTTTTTTGGTTAGTTTTAATGCAACCGTTGCTGGCAATGGATGCGATGACAAGGAAGAAGTTGACTCAGAGAGCAAAAGGATTACTGTTCCAAAAACTACATGTGGAGTTCTGTAATTGAAGTATTTAAGCATTTTGCACTCTGGAAAGTGTGCTTGTGTGTGTTTGTTTTATAAACAAAGTCTAAGTGAAGTTACTAAAACTTAAAGCTTTAAGTGCATTGATTATACACAGGCTTTTTGGAAATGTTAAAGGTGGAATTATGTCAGGAGAAACCTCCTTAGTCCATTGAGAATGTAAAGACACAGAGTTCTTGCTCAGTGCATTTCTGTGGATCGAGGATGATGATTCTCTTGTGTTTCTCTACCCTCCGCACCCACCACTTCTCCCCACCCTTGATCTTTTTAGCACCATAGATTCTCTCTCTTGAAGAGAGAGTAACTTCAGTTTCAGTGAGATAAATTTTAGACTGTTTGTTGCATATTAATTCTGTTCTGTTACCTGCCTACTACATTCTTTTCAGCTCACACATTTGCATCTTCAAAAATTAACGTTCATTTAAAGATCTGAATTCCTATCTTGTGAAAATTAAGCACACAGATTTGCTATCTGTTAACTTGTGATTTGTGGAGGGGAAAAAGAAGAGGAGAAGAGGGTGTTACGGGCAAGCATAAGCATCATTGCTGAAATATGAAATTAGCAATGAAAGTTAACAGATGTCTTTTTCTAAGTGTCTATTTTTAAAGAAACAAAGCAGTCTGGAACAGAACAGCAACTATATACAAATGATTCGAGGACAAAACAATAAAATAGTGGATTGCCTCAGGGAACGTTACTGAAGTGGATTCTAGCCCTTGGTAAAACAAAACTGACTTTTCTACAGTACATTAAGCTACTACCTGGGAATATGTTATACATCTGACTCTTCATTTCAGGATTACTAATGGATATTAAAAATCTCTGCCTGGAAAGATGAAACTATAAACAAAAGTAGATCGGAGTTTTACTGTATACCAAGTACCTAATGAAAACTAACTTGAAAAGCTGCAAAACCTGTGTTGATGTAAAACATTATACTTCGAAGTCTGTTGGTTCCTGTTTGCAGCGAAATGCTGTTGATTTAGTTGCTTTTTGGCTACTTCTGTCTACACTGACTAGCGAACACACAACTATATATATATACACAGTAAAATCTGGTTGTACAAATTGCATATATATGAGCTGTACATTTTCAACTCTAAGATGTTTTATATGGAAAACTTCCTTTTGGGATCAAGTCTATAGAAGGAGAGGTCACAAAATATAACAGAGGAAAAGCCACTTTGAAAAACCCACTGTTTTAAAGACAATGGAGACTGATCCCATATTGTAGAAAATGTGGTTACGTTGTTTGTCTTGGAAAACCTAAAATCTTTCTTTGGGACACACTCTACCACAGAACAGTACTAGAGAGAGAGATTGGAAAATTATGCTTGAAGGACTAATCTGTCTAAAGCAAGGGGTGCTGAGAGAGGTGATCTGTTCCATTAGCTGCTGCATGAAGTGTGCTCTAATTTTTCACTCTCAAGAGCAAGAGAATTTTATTAGAAGTGTCACTGTTACTTTTGCCTCTAATGGTCTCCTGGCTCCCATGTTCCCTTGCCTTATTTAGCTAGTCTGTGCTCCTTGGCAAACCTCTGTTTCTTTAGTTTCAGTACTCCTACGAGCTCTTGAACTCTTTTTCTCTCCTGAAAAATTTCAGTGTGGCTTTAGGTGATGGATTCTATAACCCTCTATCGATGGATGGGTTATTGTCCATTGGCTCTTCCTTGCCCACTCCATCCTGCTCTGGGACAGCAGCTGCAGATGCTCAGATGTGTTGACAAAGATGCCATAGAAGCATCTCATAGGCAATGTAAGGTCAAAGGACTAGTTACAGGTCTTGGCTAGGCCGCTTGTATTTATCAAAATGGGCTCGAGAACACTTGCATGATCTGAGCAGAAGGTATGATAACCCACCCTTGCCTGTGTGTTGAAGAGGAAGGCCGGCCACAGCTTCCAGGTACCTCGAGTGATGTTTTTAAATAGAGCTGTTTGCAAAGCAAAGGCAAGAAGGGGCTTGCAAAAAAAGAGGCAATAATAATAGAACAGACTCTCAACTTGTGCTCTACAAAGTTTGATACCTTATTTGATACCTTCCTTCCCATAGCCCCATCGTGACTCTCAACCTGAAAGTAGTTGCAAGCAGTGCCCCCTTCTGAACAAGGAGCAAACATAAAGGCTTTACAAAATGAACAAGCACAAATCTATGTACCAATGAGACCAAGTTGAATGTCTGGATTCTTTCTCTTCCCTATCCCTGGATTTATTTTCTATTTTCCCAATGCATTAACTTTCATACGTCTTCCACTTGTGTCATCTTCCACGTATATTACATACACGTTACCTAAAGTTACAGTTACCTTACCTCTTCCTGCCTGAACTCGGAGAACAACTGTGGAACTGCTATGGCCAGAGGGGAGGCTTGGACTTGACAACTGTATTAAAGTTTTCTAGATGAATAATCTTGTAGCGAAATATCCACTCGGTTTCACAACTGCAAATATCCAAGAATCCGATTTTTTCAGGATGCATATTCTGTTAGCTGAAGTGAATAAAAATAGATGGGTGTAAATGAACTGCTAGGCTTCTTGCTTCCAATCTTCTGGCCTTTGACTGGTAATGGACAAGAAGTTGTGTGAACTCTTAGTACTGTGGTATATGTAGAGAATGTACAGGGAAAAACTGAGGGAGTTTAAATGCGTTATTGCGCATGCTTCTTGGTGACAAATACTGTGTTTTGAAATGCGGGCAGTACTTTACAGCCTGCATTTTGTACTACTTTATATTGTTGCAAAACTAGTTTTGCAAACAGTATATGATTACATGGTTAGTTTATTGCTTATCAGTTAAGAGGACTGAGATGTCTTCTATAGCATAAAAAAAAAAAAGTTGGTCTTGACAATTGAGTCTTCTTTTAATCCAAAAAATACTGCTTTATGGTGTACTGCATTGGACTGGAGACAATCTGGCAATGTAAATGAAATGTTATGGAAACTAACCCCAATTTTTATTTCCTTTCTCAGAAGGGAGTATACAGACAGAAAAGTGGTTTCACTGTGAAAGGAAAATTGTAAAATAACTTATATACAAGGGTAAGAAACTGTTTTTAGCCTTCAGCATATATTGTAGGGGAATTGAATAAGCTATTTTGTAGAAACAGCCTGCATTTTAAAGCACCTACTGCTGTTAAATGTAATGCCCAAAGATTCCAGTACCTCAGCACCCAACTTTTATGTGTTTAATGCATTTGGGAACCTCCCAATCAGTCCTTTCTTCTTTTATATGGTGAATGTGCCCGTAAATTAATAGCACTTAGATGATTGCTTCATGGTTCGGCTCTTAAGTATTGCTAACGATGGCCTTAACCTGCGAGTAGGAAAACACATAGAAAATACGGTTCCTGACAGCCCGTAAAAAGTTTCATAACACATAAACTTTCATAATTGGGGAGAAAAACTGCACCCCTAGACAACTCTCAGCCCCTGCTCTGCTAACAATTTTTAGAAATAGGAGCTCCAATCAATAGAAAATTGAACAGAACACTGCGCCACTAAATGCTTGCTTATTTTGAACATAGAGGGTAAAGAGAAAAGGTATTAGTTACAGGTGATGCCTTACACATTACTAAAACAAAAAAACCCAAACAAAGGAACTCCAAACCCACAGGAAGCTACATCAGAATGCTTGTTGTTTGGTGTGGGAGATAATTGGAGGAAAAAATACAGAAATACGTATGTTCAGTAAAGGTCTTTCTGATATCTGTGATACTGATTCTGTGCTCTTGAAAAATGTACTGTGTTTTACTAAACGGCCTGTGAGATTTCCATTTTAAGCAAGTGTTATGTGTAACAGGAATTACTCATAATCATAAATGGTTCATTTCAGTGCACTTATTTTTCTTGTGCACTTCAAACTCCGCTGAATAGATGAACTCAGTCACCACAATCCCTAATGATAGCCTGTTTAATACAATACTAAGGCACAACACGCTGCAAACTGGAATTTTGCAGTTTCAGAACTGCGTTGGTGTAAAAAAACAGCTTGAAAGCTTTGTGTATTTTTACCACTGTAACAAAGCATGTTTTTCTCTGTTCTTGATGTTTTGCTAAATAAACATCCCATGTTTTGTGCACAAATAGTCTCTTAAACTTACAAAGGCAGTCTCTGAGAATGAGTTAGGGAAACAAACCATTGTATCAGGTTGCCCTCAACTAGCCTTAACTTTTTTTTCCCCCCAATGGTAGAGTGCAATTAGCTGCTGCTGGAAAGGAATGTACCATGTGCTCTTTCTGTATTAATATTAATTAAAAATATTATTCTTATGGCTCTATTAATTTCTTTGGGGGCTTGGAGTTTTGGGAGTGTCACAAACAATAATGAATACAGTGTTGAACTCGCTTGTGTACTTAAGGATTTCTTTTTATATATTTTTGATAGGCTCTCAATGTCAACATTTCTAGGAAACTTAGGAATTGCTGTACTCTATCAAATCAAGTCTAAGTATGCTACTTGTGTCTTACCAATTAGTACCTGATACTATAATGGAAAACCAACGAAAAGCTGCTATTGCTAACTGTAGTTTGCCTGTGGGGAAAAATTAATTTATTTTTAAATACTTATTACACTACCTTACTGACCCTAGCTGATCAGCTCCTTCTGGGATTGTGCTGTACCCTCAGTGCTGCTTCCGTAGCTACCATTTAGAAGCCCTGCACACCAAGTTTGCATGCATAGTCTAGCTAGAAAAGTGCAGCTATCCAGTATTTCTAGGTTTAATTTTTTTAATTTCCTGAGTATTGTAATAATAATATTAACAACAATGAAAAAGTCCTACCTGGGACTTCCTACCTGTAAAAGGAATGCTGTCCATTTAAGTATTTTTAAAAATCTTTATCTCATTGCAAAGCCTTAAGCACTTGTAAAAAATACTTGAAAAAGATACTTTGAGGAAATGTATTACCTACTTCTGCAGTGTAAAGGGTTGGGGTTTTCCTTTGTTCTTTAAACTGCGTTTTTCATTTGCAATAAGATTATTATTTGACTTTTTAAAAGCTAAAGCTGAGCCTTCCTGTGAATCACTATGGGAAAGGTGCTCAGAACATGTCACTCAACATTTTTATAGCAACAGCATCAATGTTTAGCCTCAGTAGAGCTGAGCTCTGGGGAGCAGCTGCAGCTGGAGGTTTGCCTGTATTTCGCGTATTCAGTCACAAGAGGGCACTGCCTGTACCAGCTGGAACCTCTTGCCTGTTCCTAACCCACGGCTTTTAAAAATGAAGATTGATATTCCTATGTGTCTATACAGTTATTGTAATCCCATTTTTATAGTGCTGCTCTTAAAACTACTTTTGGGCTAACGTAATTAGGTACATATAAAACTTGCACAGGTTTATAAATTTCAAACATACACCAAATCTAATGCAACGGTTCTTTAGCTCAGAATTGGCAGCATGTGTAATCCCCCAATGGTCAAGCCCACAGATGGTTCATAAACAAAGCGCTGCACATCGAGCTCGTGTTCCCACCGAGTGTTGGAGCTACCCAAGGGGCTGGGCTGGCATCTCGCACAGCAGTGTGAGCCTGGGCAAGGCGGCTTCAGGTCCTTACTGCACCAAAACTGCCCGTGGACCTTGGGCCCAGCTGCACAGTGCAAAGCTCCGATAATGGACAATTGGATCCAAATAAAACCGCTGTTTGGGTGACTAAAGCAGATGTAACTGGGAGATGTAAAATACCTAGGAGACCTTGGGGCATTTGTAGAGCTTAGCAGAAGCTAGTGAAAACCGTAAGCAACTTAAATGCAGTAGTAATTTTTCAAAACAAAAACTTCCATGCAAAACAAAATGTCATAGAAAAAAGCATAGTGTGAGTCACAATCTTCAGTCACTCCACGTAGAGCTGGTCCAGCCGTGGCTGCTGAACCCGGCTTTGTGGCTGCAGCCCTACCTTTTTTCTTTAGGCTGTTCCTCAGCGATCTGCTCCTGGCCAGGTCAGGAAATGGCATCTGACTGAGGCCCACCTCCCCTGCGAGCTGATGCAGGAATTAAGTGGGATTTGGGGACAGAAGGAAGCCAGGGTAGGTGTTTTCAGCTGTGCCATCACTGGTGCTTGGGTTAGCGAGCACCTTATGGTCACTGGCATCAGTTTGCTCTTCAGGCTGATTTTTAATGGGACACTGCTGCCATGGGCTCAGGGCCCCAAGGCTGCCCCATGGAGCTGCAGGTGGCAGGGCAGCCCACCCGCCCGCTGGCCCCCGCTCCCCTCATTGCTGCCTGCTGATGTCTGTAATGCTGGGGAGCGTGGGAGGCCCCATGGCTGCTGTCACTGACTGTCCCACGGCTCAGAGAGAGTGATGCTGCAGGGTTCCTGTGCGAGCAAGGTGGCAGTGTGGGGGTGCCGGGTGCAGGATGGTCCTTTTAACCGCTGCAGGGAGGTGCTGCTTGGGGTATGACGGTGCCACATAAGGAACTAGAGAAAGGGACAGTAGGGAAAAACAAAAGAAAAAAGGGCTGATCACTCAGTCACAGCACAACCCTGCTGCACGTGTGACTGCACTGAGGTGCTGGGGCAGCCACATGCAGGCCCTGGTGGGAGCAATGAGGGAAGACCTATGGCTGCTGAACTACTTAAGACCACGAGTGGAAAGGGTGCAGCCTGCCTCTCCCACCTCAGCCACAGCCAGCACTACAGCTACTCATGAGCAGTGACAAATACATTTGATGCATTTTATAACTGAGCAAGTAATGCAATAAAACCATTTACAAAAAGGAAAAAAAAAACCCAAACAAAAAAACCCCCCACCCTGCATTTTATGGCCCTAATGGTCACGTTTTGCAGCTGATTGACCTGTGTGTACAGAAAACTGATAGTGGATCTTGTTATTTATTAATCAGTTTTATCAATTAATTAATTTTAATTAATTGAAGAAAAATTTGGAGGTTCTTGGGTCTAACTCTTTTCTATATGCATTAATAACATTAATAACTGAAAACTGCAATAATGCTGTGTGCGTATTTTCTCTCTCTGTATATGCATGACTCTCTGTGGCCCCATTTATTTGTTATTGTTGATGCTGTCTTATCTGACAAGCGCTAAGCCACAGATTTCCCCCCTGTCCCTGGTTTGATGCTGCAACAGTGGGTGAGCTACAGCCTTATTAACACCGTGATGGGATGGGGTGCAGGTGGGGCTGGACCTCCTGCCCACACCACACTTCTGGGCTCTGCTCATGAGGGGTGTGACAGTGTCTCACCTAGAGCCCAGAACACACACACACACACGTTTCATTACGCACCCCCAAAGCTGGGCATACCTACCTGCCTCTCTTGAGGCAACCCTCAGCTCAAATGGAGTCATCTTATGATGTCACATGGTAGCTACACATTAGGGGATTTTTGGATAGCAAATAAGGTGTGGTGCTTCCCCCCCCGCCCCATGTCTACTTAAGCCCTGGTTTAGGCAACTAAGTACTTCTTTGAAGGGGAGAGTGGGGGGTGTCTAGGGGTGGCCATAAGCCCTCTTGAATTTTGCCGCTCTGTGTTCAGCCCAGCTCTGCAAAATGGCACTGCCTCCATTGCGGCGCTGCGAGCAGCCAGGCAGTACCCTTGGCCTGGGCTGTGTCTGCAAGGCAGTGACAGCCAATACCTCCTGAAGGCAGGAGCTACATAAATACAGCTTTTGTAAGTAAGTGTGACACCCACACTAACAGAACGGCAGCCCTAGCTTAACCAAATACTTTGCAAACTTCCCACCTTTAGGTTTGTAATTTTTGAGGAGTCTTCCGTTCCCATCCTATTTATCCTTCATTTTCAGCTGATTCCCTGTTCCATGAAGAAAAGAGACATCTGGGAATGTAAGGATAATAATTGCATATAAGTTACATCGTAATTTCTTTTTAAACAGTCTATAAATTGGCTGGATTCACCTTCACTTTCTAACGAGACCAGTTTGTATATGCTAGCACTCACACATTAAGATGCTGTTCACTAGGCAGCATCTCACATTCCACACTGCATGTTGTTGTTGTTTTTTTTTTAACCATGCAAATTTCCCACCTATCAAAGTAATTTGCAAAGGTAATTTTGTTTCTACTCATCTATTACAATAAATCAATGAATAAATAAATTATAATGCAGCAATTAAATGTATAATGAGATGGGCCACAACTACTAATAAATGCAGAGCTAGTTGCCCAAAGGTGAACAGACTTCCCCTCTCTTCTTACAAGTCAGGTAACAATCTTTCTATGATCGAGAAACAAGCAGCTGCTAAACATGTAAATGAAACCAAGGGATATACGAGTTCACACTATAATGCTGTTCTTCAGCCTCATTATTATTGTCACATTACCGGTTCTTCTGTGACTTTTCCTCTGAATATTTAAAGACAGGGAGGGGATATGCAATTATTTTTAAACATCCTTCTGCCAAATGACTGTCTGAATGAATCCAACCATGTTGCTGAGGTGTTGGCTCCCTTCAGTAACCTAACTGGTGCAGCACGACTCAGTTTTATCCCAGCAGAGCTATTACAAAACCAGTGTTGATCTGCAGGAAAAGCCAAAAGAAAATGCTGAAATTCCATGAGGAATGGAAGTCCCTTTTAAAAAAAAAAATAATTCAGCATTATTAAATATCAAATCTGAACAAAACAATACAAGCAGGGTATAAACTAGTGTATCTTCTGTTTTTAAATATGGTATAAATTATAATATCACTACTGCTTTCTGTAGTTTGATATTGCCATAAGGAAAAACCAGAATGAGCTTAATACCTTTTTGCCCCTGAGTTCTTCCTGCTGCAGTAAGCATGCTCCAGGATGCCTCACGTTTCTTCAATTCCTGTCTATCATCTTCAATATTTTTTCCTATTCAAAATTAAGTGCCAGAGAGTTACCATTTCATAGGAACATGCTTGTCTCTTTCTTCAGTAGCCACAACAGTGGATCCCTTGGCATTTTACTCCTACTCTTCCCCGAAAGTGCTCGCGCTCTCTTTCTCTCTCTCTCTCTGTGTCTCACCTCTCCATTTTTGTGTTTACCCACACATATGCTCCACCATCTGAGATCACATTATTCAGAAAATTTGTTTTTAAAGGAATGATTGATGCATTTACTGTTTTTGCCCCAGTCTG